TCCTCGCCGTGGATTCCGGATTCCAGGCGCTGGATTCCAGTCTTTGTCAGTGAAACTTGGATCCCGGATTCCAATCGTTACTGGGATTCTGGATTCCTTGAGCTGTTTCTGTATTTCAAAGTCCAGGGTTCCAGATTTTACAAGCAAAAATTTCCCGGATTCGTTTACATGGGGCGACGTGTTACAGATTGGCATCATGATGAGGTCGATGAGGTGTTTCAAGTGTCTGATTGCAAATTACTGTCATAATAGCGTTTTTTTCAATTTATATTAACCGGGTACCGGAGGAGGTATAACTTAAGACAAACGGGAGAAAACAGATATGTACAGGAACAGTTAGTTAGAATATTGTGTGTAGTTACCGTTTATCGTTACTTTTTTTCTTTCGCTGATGCGTTTGTATCAATTGTATTCGGTGAGTACGAAAGTAGTTGGAATAAAATGTTAGAAATTTGCATTGCTTTGCTTCGCCCCCAGTCTCAACAGGTCCTCCCCTTTTCCCGTAAATGAAAAAGTTCATTTTGTCAAAATTGGAAGAACTTAATTGTATTCACGAAGGAAGAAATTATTAAGTAACGACAGCTATCCCAAATGATCAGTGTTGTCGGGGAAAGAAGAGCAGCAGTTACATATCAAGTGTGACATCACACCGCGTCCAACAGTTTGGATGGCCTACCTGTGCTCTGAAAAGTGTGGAGCAAGGTTTTCCAGCATGGATGGCATTTAGGCACCCGATAATCTGTGAAAAATTGCGCTAATAATAGATTTTTCAAAAGGCATTAAGATAAATGTATTGAATTAACAGGTTTTATGTTGGTTTCGAACTGTTCATCATTTCCAAGTTGGAAATGCCAATAGCCAATTTCGATATGTTTTAACGTGAAAGACAGGTCACGAATCTCGGACGCCAAAGCGAGGCTCTGGGGAACACGGCGCGAAATAAAAAAATAAAGAAAAACATCACTGAGAAGAACGCCAGGTGTTTCGGTAATTCCTACGAACCTCAGTGTATTTTTAGCTCTTTTGAAGAAAATTTCCTTGCCTGTCGTGGTCAAGTATTGAGGCTCTGAATGGGGTCAACTGACAACTGACAAATAACCTAAAATTTAATTAACCGGCTACTGACATTTGCCTTCAGGGTTTTACTGACAACTGACAAAGGACCTGATTAATATTGTCCCTTATTTTCTATAAAACCCGTTTTTAAGGCCTTAAATATGATTGTTCCTCTCTTTTCGTGAGACAATATGATCAAATGTGCCTTTTTAGGGGTAATCCTGGCAGCAAGACGCTTTAAGTGACATATTTCGTCAGTGATTCGCTGCAAGACCCATGTGTGTCATGTACCATTTGTTGTAAATGACTTATGATCTCAAAATTACCGCGCTCCTCTGAAAACGCGCCAGCATACGATGCTGCTCAGTAATGAGGGCGTTAGAAAAGCAATTGCAAGTTTTTACCGAGATGATTCAGCTACGGTCTTTCTTGGTCTTCTTACGATCTTCGTCCCAAAAACATACCTGCCAACTTTTTCTGAGTCAAATGCGTGAGATTTTCACCTTGTCGTGACCGAGATTTCCGGAAACGTCCCGGCTACTTCCAAATATTCCCGACGAATTTCCCGGTACCCCCCCCCCCCACCCCCGTTGTTTGAGCACTTCCGAAGCTACTTAAAAAACGACAATCTCAGCGTGCTTTGATTTCGTTAGAACACAAAAAAGGACACAAAGTCATCATCTGTTAAAGAACAGTTTGTCCGGATTTGTGAGTCAGGCGTGAGAAATTGTCCTTGATGCGTGAGATCCATGTGTTTAGTCCACAGGCATGCCCGGGAGGCATGTTGCGTATACAATATTCTGAAGGTATAAATTTTGATTGGCTTAATTGTTGGAAAAGACTTGAGAAATGGAGGGCCACTTGAAACGCTTCACAATAGCAAAATTGATAAAAAATTAAGGTGCTATTGCATCAGGAGTTTCGATTTAATGTTTAATTTACATTATATGTGCCTTTCAAGCTAGATTTCGCATCAAAAATATACAAATAAGTTTCATAGTTAATCATTAATAACCCTGACAACTGACAAAAAGCCTAAAATTTAACTGACAACTGACAAATGGCTTTAGTCATTGTATTTTCGAAAATCAACATTAATATAGCCAAAAACGTAAATTTCGTGTCTATTGGGATTAAGTGTTTTTGTAACATCATTTAATTGGTTTCGAAATTATTCTAAGTTGCAATTAAGACGTATATGCGTGCAGCCTATAATCATGTTCCTTTTGTCTTTACCAGCATTAATTTCTGCCCAGCAAGATTCAACTAGTTCCATATTAAATGTAATAATATCAGGTCTAAGTATAGCTTTAAGATTGTCGACCATATATAAAGCAGCTCCGCCTACGCTTGTTCGCCAGTCAGTGTGGTAAAAGTTATAGCCTTTGATATTAATATTGGCAACTATTTTTCACCTAATTTAGTTTAACTAATGCTAAAGCAATTTTTACACCGTTTTGAACCAAAGCTCGCCCTGAAGTCCATTTCTACAGGTTATTTCAATCTTCATCTTGGATGCTTGGATGAGTATGTACTCATTAGCACTTTCCTGTTGTCTGCAACTACATCCACGTCACACCATTGGTGGAAAACCAGGTAAAAACACTGATTGAGGCAGGAAGACACTTTTCTCCAAGTAGTCTTCAAGTAAAGGAATCCCTTAACTAAAAGAACAAGCAAAAACAGTCATCATTGATCAGAATGATGAAAAGCATTGTTGAAAATACATGAAGAAGGTAGAGAAAATTCGCCCCTTGCAGATTCATCTCTTTAAAATCGTGAACTAAAATATAATTGGTATTTCCCAACTCATTTTAAAATAACTCATGAAAACGAAACAAAGCAAACCACTACAGTGAGGATTGATATCGGTTCTTAATTACCGCATAAAAAAATGTGAACTTTAGCTTTAAATTTCTTCAAGAATCCAAAAATTATTATTCGTCTACGAAGCTATATCAAACACTCCACTCAGTGTTTCATCCAATAAATAATCTAGAAATGGGACTTAATTAAACATTATCTTGGTTACACTTCGTTTTCCAACCCACTTCTCGTTATCTGGAAATCGGATGAATTACTGGGTGTCGTGTTTGATTTATTATCCCGAATCAGCTTGTGATGGTGATGGTCCTTATGATGATGGTGATTACACCAAGCCAGAAGCTCGAATTTTCTTAAAACATCAACAATAACACACTGGCTTCCCGTAGTTGCTTCAATTTATAACAAAGCTTTTAACTCATGCAGCAATTACATTTGCGTTTGACTTCAGGAGAACGCAACATAAAGTCAGTGCGCGAGAAGCCTGGGCACGGAAAGAAACTAGATTTTTGTTAGAATAGGTCAGGTACCGGAAACGGAAATACGTCATAGACTTTAGACTTGTCGTTCCCAGAACCCGTCGTTTCCTTTGAAGGAGCCCTTTGGAGAAAAATCATGTTAAGAAATGCTACGGGGGATATTGAGAACGTTCAATTTGGGTAACTTTCAGTTGAATAGACAACACACATCAGCTGGACATACTGTTGGTTTGCAGAACATAGCTCACTTCGGAAATTTAATTGTGCTAAGGCTAGACACCTTACTTTATCATTACAACAGCTGCTCTAAAAAGATATTTTCAGTCATTAAATGAGACTAGAAGACTGAAAAATTCTGAAAAATATGAAGATCATAAAAGGAGGACACGCACGTTGCATGATTTCTTAGAGTAACCTGATGTAAACCTTGGATGCTTAGTTGGTTCAAGTGTCTTGTTATCTGTGAAAAGGCAGTAAATAACATATCTACTGACCATATCTTTTCATTCAAAAAACAACAATTTATTATTAGATTTAATTTTTGTGATGTACAGAATAATAAGAGAGACTAGTCTGGACATTGTTTAAGTCTCATCTAATTAATGTACTCTTTTGTTACGTATCCAATGGTGGAATCAGTTGGATTGTATTGTAATGAGTTCTGGCCCACCACCTACTCTTATTCTGTTTCTTTCTTTCAGAAGTTATCAAGGAGGACAGCTGCCCTAGAAATGGTGAAATGGGGAGGAATAAAGAGTTTGTTTGATGGAAAATACTCCTTTCGAACCTGCAAACATTTTGGCGACCATGCAAGACAGCTAGTTGGTGTAATCAAAGATTTATGACACCGCTCGTGTCAGTAGTATAGGACACGGCGGTATGAGCACATTTTGCCATATTCTGGGTCTGACCTTGGGATTATCTAGTTGACCACTTGACCTTAGGATTCCTGGAATGGGAATTTCCAGAAAGGCAAAATGGCTTAAAGAAATGTCGCTTATATAGGGTATGACCCAGCGTCAAGAGATGACTAGAGAATTATTGTATGGAATCGACGATGAGACTCTTCAAGTCCCCTCTTAGAGTATAAAAGACAACTTTGGGAGGCCCGTCTGGAGCATGATCTTGCTCTTTTCGAGGACTCTAATGATAATAATATTGCTTCTTCTGAGGCTCTGGAGACGGAAAGTATTAACTCAGATGTGTCAGCGTTAAGCTCCGTGCAAACGGATGCAACATTGTTAGCCAACAATTCCCAACATTGTTGGATGTTACATGTTGCGTCCGTTTGCACACCCTGTTGCATGTTGTTGGATGTTGTTGCGTGTTGTTGCGCAAAGTTTGAAACCAGTTAAACTTTTTAGCCAACAACTCCCAACATTTCTTTTGTTCCGTGATCGCCGAAGCGTAGCGCAACATTGTTGGATCCGTTTGCACAGCTCTTCCAACATTGTTGGGGCCGCGCACGCTCATTACGAATGGTTTACAAAGACTTATGTGTTGTATCCTTCCCACGATGCACTGCAGGTCCCAACATTGTTGGGAGTTGTTGCATCCGTTTGCACACCACTGCCAACATGCACGCAACAACTCCCAACATTGTTGGCGCAACAAGTTGGGAGTTGTTGCGTCCGTTTGCGCGCAGCCTTAGTAGAATTTGAGGTGCCAATAACTGAGGCTCCACCAGCATATGATATAGAAGAAGTTCCATTTGAAGAAGAATTAACATCTTCACCTACCTATTCAGTGCCATATATTGATCCTCCAGACTACGGTGATATAATAAATAACGCTGGAGAAGCCTCTCAAATAGAGGAATCTAGGCTGGAAGCGGGCTTTGAAGAGCCAAATTATAGTATTCCGAGGTATGATGAAATAGAAAATGATGGCTACCGGCCCCATACCAGGTACAAATTATATGAGGCCGATAGCAAGCGAAATGTGAGGAAAGTTTTGAGTAAGAGGCAAATTTTGAGTGAACTTAATGGGGAGATAATGATAAGAGACCGTAGAACTGGAAATAAAGGTCTCGTTAGTAGAAGTATGTTTGTCTGGGAATGCTATATATTATGGCCTGAGATTACGGTATTCAATCCATGGTGAATTTATATTTCTAGATAAGAATATATATAATTGTGATTTTATGAATTTGGATATTGAGGCGGGGATATGTTAGATAGGAATCTTGTGAAAATTGCTGAGATGTGATTTGTATGTTTGTTTGTTGTAGAATGCGTTGGAGCAAAATTTACGCGGGATCCGGACTCCTGACATGCGTTTATTTAGACAGGCTATGGTACGATCGTAATCATTTGATATAAGAAATCTGTAGTTATTTTGATGGAATCGTTTCTGCATCTCTTTCTGTGCCTCACTAACCTGGTAATTATATGTGGGGCTCTTAAATTCAATACAAAGGCCAGAATATTTATTATGGTAATTTGCAATTATTATATCCGGTTGTCCTTTCATATAGCCCTTTTTCCAGGAGTTTGTTCTTTTGGTTGCTGTGTCTTGGTTCTCACCTAGGCCTGCAATGATGATAGCCTCTGGATAGAACCGCCTGATGTATTGCACAACTCTGCAGTGATGATCGGTCTCATTCTCCATTTTAAACATATGGTTATTTGGGTTTTCGAACAGTTCGTACTGCCCATATTTCCTGGTGGATGGAAACACTTGAGATGTAACCCAATATTTGAATTTTTTAGCTGATTCTAACTTTAAAGATAAAATAATGGAATAAAATCCGGATTCATTTATTAAAACTGACGGCCGGCCCTCTTTGGGAATAACCCGCCGTTTTGGCAGGAAAAGACTTTTTATCCTCAGGCTCAACATGATTTCTTATAGCTTTATCCATATCAATATATCCAAGGATTTTAACCACATCTTCCCCCCTGAACCAGATATTTTGCTTGTTATTAATATATGACGTCAGCTCAATTTCCAACTCATCGTTTTTAAAGCAAACGTTTTTCTCCATCATTGCCATTACTATAGTTTTGGTTCCAACAGGCAGATATTACTCTTTTTCCAACTCATTGATATTATCAACCTTTGTATTTTTGCTCACATTGAAATACTTTTTATAGTTGTCATTCATGATATCAGTACAAATTGCATGAAGAAGATCTGCCAGTGTTATGTTGTTATCCATAGTTTCTTTCAACTTTTTCACATATATTTTCATCAGAGATCGTTTATGCCTCATTGCAGCAAGATCTTCCTCCACCTCACGGATATTATCATTTAGCTCATCATGTTCATCTTCTTTATCACAAATATCTGAATGCAGTTTTTCAACACATTTAATAATGTAATCAGCCATTATATATTAGATAAATTTTGTAAAACCTTCAGTAGAATCCAAAAATTAAAGTCGTCGCTATATCCCAACCACTTCAGAACAGCTTGTTTCTTTTTGTAATCTCTTCGAATCACTTTATCAATACGGAATATATCTTTTTTTTGCCTTTAGTAGTTCAGTTTCGTAAAAAGCTCCCTTGTACCTCGTCGTTGTTGAGATCCTTTAACCTATAGGTGATTGGATTTGTGGATTGTATTTTATCGATGAGGAATATCTCTTAAGTCCAATTAGGTGTGTAGCCTTTATCAAACGCCTTTCTTTTGTATTTACTTATCCTGACTTTACCGCCAACCTTGAATTTGGGTTAAGATGACAATTGCTCCATATCGCCATATAGATTGAAATACACGGTACTTTCATTCTTCTTTTTACTGGCTTCTATGGGTGTCATTTTAATGGAACTGTGCTTAGTGTTATTATACTGCTTCAGTATTTTTGGTAGTATATCAAGATATACTGTGTTACCTTGAACAGTAAATTGCTTCCACATCTTGGTTTTGATTGTGCGGTTCCATCTTTCACAAACAGAAGACTTTTCTTCATTCTCAGTTGAGTACAGTGTTATGTTATGCTTTTGCAATAGGTCTTTCATGTGTTTGTTGTAATATTCTTTCCCTTTATCGGTGTGCAAAATGAAAAAATCGAAAATCCCCAAATTTTGTCAGAATATAGGTCTAGGTAAACTGTTTAAAAAAAAATAACTTTCAGTTCGATTGGATTTTTATTTTACGCGTACGGCGACCGAGTCGGTTCGGAAGCTCTCAGATCAGTTTTCACGGGCTCAAGACCATATATTACTTAAAAGTCGTTTAAAAATTAAAGAAGTAACAAACTCTGCCTCTGAAAATCTTAATAGAAAGAATACAATTTAACCAATAGGTTCGATGTAAAATTTTCCCATTCGACAGCAAATATAATATTTTTCGGATTTTTAATTATTTTACTTATTTTACCGATTTTTGGCAGGCAGAAAATTGGCGAATTTCAGACACAAAAAAATCACTACTTGGTATACGGCTTTGGCCATAACTTTCCTACGAACAAAAAGAGCAAGGTGTTTTCCTCAAATAAATGCAATAAAATTTTTGGGCATTCTTGCAGAGAAAAATTTTTGAAGGCCAAACAAAAGCGACCCTTGAGGTCAAAACACGCCGTTTTGTCACGACATTCCGAAGGCGGGTAAATTAATAAAAATGCTCTATTAGCCAGATTCCTCCAAAGCTCTTTGGTATTGAGCAATATTGATATATTAATATCAATTAATATATCACTTACAATGCGCCCGTTGGCAGTCGAAAGCCTACTTTTAACCGGCGGTCAATGTTTGACAGCATTCGGATCACATGTTTCAAAACGTTCATGCACTTAAAAGAACAAATATACCGACGTTGGCTTACATAATGATGTATAAAGACAAAATATAATACTTATCTCTTAGGAAATGAAGATGTTTTGGAAATATATAACCGACTATGGCGGCCTCCTCACATCACCGTACCTGCTCGGAGTGGGAAGGAGAATGCGTTACTCACTTTTGTCCTAGGGTAGGGTGATGCTCCAGAGGAAGGGGAAGGGGAATGTCAGCAGCACTGTGTTTAAAATCAAAACAGTAAACTGATCCTTACGGCAGGAAGAGTGACAGAAAAAAGAAAGAAAGAAAACAAAAATAAAGTTGCATTAGAACCCCCTGATATAAATCAACGTAATGAACTTCGTAAGTGACATTTATCTCGTTAGTAGTCTATCTTTTCTGTTTACTATGTATTCAAACCTAACGTACGAATTCATCTTGCATCCGTATTCTTTTTTTTTTTTCTTCTTTTATCCCCCGTTGAAGGTTTTTGTTGCAGACCGAAATGTTGGGCAAATATAATTCATCGTTTCGTTGATCAAAACTCCCTAACCTCCAAATGCATACCTGAAAACTGGGGTTTATTTGAAAAACTTACGCACAGCCAGCGATCCGTGTTATCGGTATGCCCCCGGGGCCCCCGGGGGTGTGCCCAACGCAAAGCCCTCAAAAGCCAGCTCTTTTTTGTCCAGTTCAAAGATGCGTATATAAGCACCTTTCAGCGCCCGGACTGACATTAGAGAAAATAACAGCTTCTCGAGGAGAAGCACAGCCTTCTGGGAAGTTTACCCCAGCTGAGCGCCCGGGGAACTCTCTATGATAATAGCGTATACGGCAACTGGCTCCGCCCGAAAGGGGTGGCTAAGGTTTCAGGTATATTGAAGGGTAGCAATTTTAATATTAAAAGTATATATGAAAGGTTGAGAAAAGGACCCAAAAGGAAGGATTAAAACAAAAAATGCAGAGAAAATATCTTGGTTTTTTATCTATTCATACAGTTTAAAAAAAGGAAAAAGAGAAGGACAAGGCATTCAAAGCAGTTTGAAGGGATGCAAAGAAAAGCGACTTCTTAAGGGCTGGAAAGAACACGAAAGAGGACAACTTTTCAGTCAAAAATGGTGTATAAAAGAGTAATGGGCTCATTCCTGGGGCAGTAAATACTACTACCAGGAATCCTTCGCGATTTCCGTTGTATGTGCCCAATGAAAGCATCGCTGATAAACATCCGATTAACATCCAGATATTCTGCAGGAAGTTACGCTTTCGCTGTCAAAGGATTTTGTGCATTGTCTTCGGCGATCAGGTTAGGTACACAGTTTCATGGCTGCACTGACCTGTCTGCGCTCTGTAGAGACAAATCTCACACTTACCTGCCCCTCCCCCAAATCGTTTGCTTGTAATCTCCCATATTCTGGGAGACACGTGACCAGCGTTTTCCAGGGTCTCTCTCTCTCTCGCTCCGTAGGGCGGGTAGGAGAGAACCCTGGGAACGAGGCTGCAAATATGGATGTCCCAGATGTGACGCCATTTCCATAATGGATGGGTATCCTGTGATTATTCCAAATATGGTACAACAGTACGTACGTTAAAGGCAGAACACTGCACGCCTCTGCTGTCCCTTTCAGGTTCAAGGATTAAGGCCGAATGCTGTCTCACTGCTGGAAGAGCTTAAGATGTTCTCTTTGTGGATGACAACATCATAGCAAACTTAGCGACAACGGGTTCCTACCAATCTTGCAGCTGCTGACGGCGTTGTGTACTCGAGTGATACACGTTGCAGTAGTCTTAGAACGTCTCAGTTTTATTTTCTCCATATTTTAGCTGATTAGATCTTTCTTTTTCTAGAGATCAAACGATTACAACCAGCACGCAGGATCTTCGTCCACTGCTTCTGCAGTTTATTTCTTTAAAGAAATGAAAGCAGAAAAGCAAGCAGAAAAAGCAGAAAAGCAGAAAGCAGAAAAGGGTCGCTCTTTAGCTCTCAAGGAAATTCATTTCAAGACCTTGGAACCTGGGGAAATAGTTCTTGTGAGGAATCTTTCGGATCATGGGGGACCGGGTAAACGTAAGGCAAACTGGGAGGAACAGATTCACGTGGTGGTGGAAAGGGGAGAGCCCGTCTACTAGGTATATCCGGAAGCGACGGGCGAGAAGCGTGTCCTTTACAAAAATCTGCTCTTACCATATGAATTTCTCCCCGTAACGCAGCAGCAGAATAGTCAGGTGGGTGACAGAACTTGGAGCACTGCAAAGATTTCAGTGAAAGCGCACAGAGTATCACAGATCAGCAATGACAGCAAAAGCGGTTATTCTAAAATCCCAACCTGCTAACCAAAGCCGGCTGAGTGGCCTGACCAATTTCTACTACGGAAGGCCATGTACAGTTTGACTCTGTTGATTTTGGTGACAACGAATCAAAAGAGTCTCAACACTCTGATTCCACCATGTGGCAGCA